GGGGAGGTGGCCGGGAGAGCCGAAGGGGCTTACTAGAGCGTTGAAAATTGAAAATTCAAAATGGCCGATATTTCCGGCCGACGGGACCGAAACAAAAAGTCGCCAGCCGTTCATTATGACATGCATCGCTGTACGCGCCGCTGTGATTTGCACTGTTTCGCTGCAGAACGTTCCCGCCGATTGATAGGGCGCGCTTGGAAAAACCTGCGCTCGAAAATCTTCCTCGGCGCCACGACATCCTCGCGGCTTCAGTTTCCTTCCGATACGACAACCGGCCAAGTTTTCCGTCTTATTTCAATTTCCCGCCGAACAACTCGCGACCTTTGTCGAAGATGCGTCGACTCTGATTCGGTCAACATCCGGCGAGCCACAGGCGACGCGTTAAAACGCGTTCATAAAATATTCATTTCGCAAAGCACGGTGCAGCAGTTGCGACGAGTGGACTGCGAATTAGACGAGCGAGTGCGACTGCGATGCGAATCGCAGCGATTTACGCGCCGCTTTTTTCCATTTCCTGATGAAGCGTTGCAAGAGGAAAAGGGGAGCATTCTCGCGGCGTAGCGAGAAGGCGATCGAAAGTGGCGTATCTTGGCGGGAAACGAATCGCACGGAGTGGCATTGGATAGAGGCGTATCGACAGGCTTTTTCTGCCGGCCGGAGAGGCTTTCAGGGGATCTCTGGCGTCGACACGGTCGATTAGTCGATCGAGGCCAGCTCGGGATTTCGTAAACGCGAGATAAAAGCTTGGGCCCCAGCCCACTCGCGTGTCGTTTGCCAGGCAACGAACAAACGAACGAACCAGTCGTTTCTCTCTTTCTCCCTGTTTCCCAGTCCGCGTTCCCTCTTTTTCGCTGTTTCCCCGTGATTTTTGCACAATGGCCGGCCGGCCGGCGAGGCTTTGTTTTAAAATTATCAACGCGTCGCACAATCGGCCGTCGCCTCGCGTTCCCGAACAAAGAACTCGCCTCTTTCCCTCCTCTCTGTCGCCTTGTTGTCCGCTGTTGCTGCACCTATTCGCGTTTCTCTCTCTCTCTCTCTCTCTCTTTCTCTTTCTCTGTCTCTTTCTTTCGATCCCTCTTCCTCGTCACCGGCCGCGATTCACCGCCAACTTCCAGCCTCCACGCTTCTTCCTATACCCGCCTGTCAATGCTGATATCCCTCTGGATCCCTGTTTCGCTGTCGCTGTGTCCCTGTCTTGACGCCAGTCCCCAGCGCCACTCTTCTCAAACGCTCTTTGTCTCCTTCCATGGGAATGTCTCTGAGCTTTGCTCTTTATCGAGAGCAAGGTTTTAGCTCGGCCGTGCGCACTCTCCATGCTTAGATCGCGCCACGTTAGGATAACGAGGGCTTAGCAAAGATTAGGTACAAGTTAACATATATAGATTTATGGAAGCTTCGGGCTTGGCTCAGCGGAAACTTAAATGTAAATTAAAGCAGACCTAGGGATATGGATTAACGTCGAACTGGAGAAGATTAGATTCAAGTTAACGTTCATGGATTATACAATACATACGTGCACATACAATAACTCAGGTCTATGAAAGCTTCGAGCTCGGGTCAAGATAAGAAGGTTTACGGAAGTTTGGATCTAAATTAGAACAGACCTGGAGATGTAAATTAACGTTAAAGTGAAAAAGATCAGATCCAAGTTAACGTACATGGATCATACAATACATACGTGCACATACAATAACTCAGGTCTATGAAAGCTTCGAGCTCGGGGCAAGATAAGAAGGTTTACGGAAGTTTGGATCTAAATTAAAACAGACCTAGAAATGTAAATTAACGTTAAAATGAAAAAGATTAGATCCAAGTTAACGTACAAGGATCATACAATACATACGTGCACATACAATAACTCAGGTCTATGAAAGCTTCGAGCTCGGGTCAAGATAGGAAAGATTACGGATGTTTGAATCTAAATTAGAACAGACCTGGAGATGTAGATTAACGTGAAAGTGGGAAAGGTTAGGTCCAAGTTAACGTACAAGGATTATACAATACACAAATGTATATACAATAACTCAGGTCTATGAAAGCTTCGAGCTTGCTTCAAGATAGGAAAGTTTACGGAAGTTTGAATCTAAATTAAGCTTGGGTCAAGATAGGAAGGTTTACGGAAGTTTGAATCTAAATTAAGACAGACCTGGAGATGTAAATTAAGGTTAAAATGAAAAAGATTAGATCCAAGTTAACATACAAGGATCGTACAATACACTAATATACATACGATAAAACAGGTCTATGGAAGCTTCGAGCTTGCGTCAAGATAGGAAAGTTTACGGAAGTTTGCATCTAAATTAGAACAGACCTACAAATGTAGATTAACATCAAAGTGGAAAAGGTTGGATCCAAGTTAACGTACATAGATCTATGGAAGCTTCGAGCTTGGGTCAACGTAGATCTGCGAAAGTTTACATCTAAATCAAAGCAGACCTAGAGATCTACGTTAACGGCGAACTGGAACAGATTAGATACAAGTTAACGTACATGATAACGTATAGTGTATGATCGTACAAAAACATAGGTTTGTGGAAGTTTCGAGCTTGGGTCAAGGTACGTCCGTGGAAGTTTGTATCTAAATTAAAACAGTCCTAGAGATGTAGATCAACGTCAGAGTGGAAAGGGTTAGACCCAAGTTAACGTATATAGATCTACGGAAGCTCATACCTAGCTCGATATACATAGATTTAGAGAAACTTTGATGCGAGTTAACTCGGAGCTAGATTGACGTAAAACTCGATGAAACTCGGATCCAAGTTAATACAAACCTGCGATAATTTCGATTCAACGTCGATGTAGCTTAAAGATTAAATCGGCGTTAACGCGGGCATAGAGAAGTTGAAAACCGGCTTGGCGAAACCCTTGGAAAATCTTCGAAAATGTGAAATCAGTGAGGCGAGTATCCGCAAAGCCGAGGAAGATAATTACGACACACAAAGAGCGTAATGCGAGCATGCGACGAGGGAAATCGACGGGGCAAAGAATCGAGTGGGGTTGATCGGTTGCGAACAAGGAGGAACACAGTGGTTCGAGACGGTCATTAGGCTGTTAAATTGCGACGCGGTGGCGTGTGCGATTTCGCGGGGCTGCTTTTAAAAACGCCGATGTTTATCCGAACGAAACGGACCCTTCCGCGATCGCAACGCGATAATGCGTTTACCATCGATTCCACCGGAGATCGTTGTATGACACAGGAGTGATACATATCGTCGGTTGTCCGTTACCACGGAACGCCGTTCTCGAATTCGTGTCGTTCCCCGGCTTTACAAGCCTCCATCTTGCCTCTCTGTTCCCCAAGATCGGCCGAGATACGCTAAAATATTCCGAAAGCCGAGTCCGTTTAAAAAGCCAACGGGTCTAGCTCGAGCGAGTCCGAGTAATTTTCACCGTGGTATCGCGAGCGTACGGTCTAATAATTAACCGGCCTCTCCCAGGGCGAAGTTAACCGATGCTGCTGATAACGGATCGGCGCAAATTTAATAAAACGCGTCCGTGGTCCCGCATAATCGAAATACACGGTGTAATTTCAGTCGGAGCAAATTTTTCGCCTGTTTTCTGCGTCGCGTCGGCCGCGGCGCCGCTATAATCAGCTCGACCGTATAATCGTATCGATACAGCCGGGTCCCCGGC